CCGGGCGCCGCAGCATAAATGGCTGCCCACTGCTCCGGGTGTGTGTTCACGGTGTGTGTGTGTGTTCACTGCTGTGTGTGTGCACTTTGGATGGGTTAAATGCAGAGCATAATTAATTATCTGCAAGTAGTTTTTTCAGTACAATTAAGCTACTTCTTTTTCACATGGATAAAGATATCATTTGTGATCTTTCTTGCTGATCAGATAAAGCTGTTGTTGTGTTTCTCACGTGTGTCTTGTGGCAGTGGGACGGCCTGAAACTGTTGGCTGCCGCTGCCGTGTTTGTTTGTGCTGAAACACTGCAGGACGTCCGTGTCCGTGAGGGACTGATGGATGGTCAGAACGCTCTTCACTCCTGTGCTTCCTAACGTCTCCTCACTGATGGAGGTTTCTGTAGAGTTAGCGAGCACATGTCCGGACAGACGCCACTCTAGTGTAGGGCAGGGATTCCCATGAGCCTCACAGACACACGCCATTACACTGCTTCGGCTGCAAGAGCTGGAGATTTTGGGTGCAACTGAAAGAGAAAATATAATCGTTATGATACAGAAGATCTTGATGGTCTCTACAGTGTAAAACATGTTCAGAATTTGAATGATAAAACACTAAAAATACCATGGTAAAAAAAACATGTTAACAGCAAGTTCCCTAAGAAATCTAACGGGATATTTAATGTATTTAAATTTGTATTTACACATCTGTAATGATATAGCTGCTATTTAGTACATTTAAAATATAATCATTTTAAATGTAATATTGAATTAGTATTTAGTATTCATTTAGTATCACTGAGACACTGTCATAGTTTTTATTAATATTTTGAATCAGTTTTTTATATATATTTTTCATTTTCTTTATTCATTTTGTTGTGTTTTTGTCATTTCTAGACATTTTTGTTAATACGTCTGTATAGATTTTATTAATTTTTAATGATCTCTACAGTGTAAAAAAAAAACATGTTCTTAATTTTAATGGTAAAACACTAGAAATGCCGCGGTAAAACCATGTTAATTGGTTAAAAGCAAGTTCCCTTCCTGTGAAACATAATAAATCTAACAGGACATTTCAAAATAAATACTGTTAAATGTACAGTTTTTGGAAGTGAAAAAGAGCAAGTCATCTTCTTTAAATTTATTTTATTTAATTTATAATTCAGTCTTTTATGGTGGTTGTCAGTATATTATAAGAAAACAACAAAACATATTTTAGTATTTCAGTAAGTTGGTATATTAACATTATTTTATTCTGTAAATTTAAGTTCAGTTCACTGTAGATGAATACAAATGTGTTCATGACAAAAATAGAAGAAGAAAACATAACCTAAAGCTAATAGTTTCCTAAAGTAGAAAAGAGGAACAAACCACAATTATTAAGTTAGGGTTAGTTCCGTCTACAAAACGCCACACTGGTGAAAATGCCATTATTGTGCTGAAGAACTCATTTTACTCTTCTGACTACAGTAGTACTCAGTTATAAAAAGTCTTCACCCAAAAATAAACATTCTGTCATTTACTCACCAAACCTGTATGACTTTATTTCAAAAAGATATTTTGAAGAATGTTGGGAACAACATTGGACCCCATTGACTTCCATTGTATGAATGAAAAGATACTGAGACATTTCTCAAAATACCTTTCTCAGAAAAGTAAGGAAGTCATGTAGGTTTGGAATGAGGGCGATAAACGTTGACAATTTTCATTTTTATGTGCAAACATTATTTTGATTATTTTGAGCTCTGTTAACATAATAATGTTGATTTGTTTATGCTACAAATTATTAACTCGGTGTAGTTTGTTGGTTGAACATAATTTCATTAGAAGTTGTCATGATTCAAAAGATTGATGAAAACCTTTGCATTACCTTTTTTTTTTTTTTGCCAAAACATTGTTTAAAGAGATAGTTCACCCAAAATTGAAAATTACCCCATGATTTACTCGCCCTCAAGCCATCCTAGGTGTATATGACTTTCTTCTTTCAGACGAATCCAATCGGAGTTATATTAAAAAATGTCCTGGCTCTTCCAAGCTTTAAATTGTAATGGCAGTGAATGGGTGTTATTTTTCAATAGTCCAAAAGAAGTCCAATAAAGAGCACGTATGATGTAGCGTAAGGTCCGGTGAGAAGTGACGAATGCGGAAACGCAGCGGAGACGAATTTGTGACCAGACGAACACTGGTCACGAATTAGAAGTACAAAATGAAGATTTGTAAAGAAAAATGTCTGAGGATTTTGATATAAGCGAAGAGAAGACTGGTTTTCCTTTGCTAAAGTAAGGAAACTTTGCTTCCTTTGCTCCTGTAAACAAACGTT